CACACAGAAAGAGTCAGCATTTCTGAGCTTGCTACGCGTTCGGTTGGCATTAGGCAGTAAGTGCTGGCCGATATAACGTGAGCTGAAATGATGCAGGATGCTGTCAGCCCCGCCCCCAACAGCCCCTGCACAATCCCCACTCGTCCTCGTCCAGTCTAAGGCACCTGCAAAGGACACAGTAGAGGACACTCGTGTTCTGGCAGTTGCTGTCCCACCACTGCACCTGGCTACCTACTCAGGCTTGTGCTTTGAACAGGAAACAGAGCTGGGTGGTGATTCATGATGGAGACTTGGGAACTGTTGTTGAGGATGTCAGTCTAACCATCTAATACACAATTTGTCAAACTTGGGTCCAGGGACTCCCAGTGGAGTCTTTGTCTCGTAAAGGGGAACAGCAGGGAACATTTTGAGCAGGAAATACTTACTCCTGAACCCTTCATTTTTTCCTCCCCAAAGGGGAGCAGAAGGAACTGAGCTGAGCCCTTGCCAAGCTGGCAAGGGCCTGCCACAGCATCTTCCCTGCTCATCCTGGAGACACCACCCTTCCCCAGCGGAGCCAGGGGTGACCTTCAAGCTAGTTTCAGTAAGTCCACATGGCTACACCTCAAATTCCATCTTCCCGCCAGCTTTTCTCACTAATGGTGTGAACATCTTTGATCTCCAGCTAGTAACTATTTCTCCAACACTTCCCAGGAGAGGCGGGAAAGGGGAGAGCTATCCATGAGCCCCTAAAAAACCATCAGTGCAGGGCAAAAAGCAAAGTTAATTCCAAGGGAATCCTTTTCAATAATAGAAGGGAAGTCCACAGGATTCAGTAGAGCATGCCAACAGGGAGTGAAACAGGGGAGATTGTTGTTGAAGCAGGAATACTGACCCCTCTCTCTTCCTTCCTTCCTAAGTCAGGTCAGCTTCACTTGTCTTTAAGATTTGAGGTTTCATCCAAATCAAGTTCTACATCCAAAACCAGTCTGAAAGTATGTAATTTGGGTCATCTTTTAGGTCCCCCCTCTGGCCTAAAGCTCATGTTGAGTTTATCTTAGATATCCCATGTTTGTGCTGCTTTGCTCATGATGCTGCCCTGTGATGCAGACAGAAGCCTGCTGGCCAACTTCTCCACCAGGGCCTTCTCAGGGACGCAGAGGTGCCTGCAGGCCACCTCTCCCAGGAGGGACTGGAGCGCTCAACCTCTCAGAGCTGGATACAGATTGCAAGGCTCATCTCAGAGGATGGCACATGATAGCCAGTTTCTGTGCTAAGGAACTAAAGACACACAGGAAGCTGTCGCAGTACCTCAGGGACCCAAGGCTGCTGCTACGAATTACTGCCACTTTGGTGATTATGGAAATTTCGTCTCCATGGGGTATAGGTTTAGCCTGGCATTCAACATCAGAGTTCCATTCCCGGCTCTGGCTCCTGACTCCAGCGTGCTGCTCAGGTGGACTCTGGCGAGCAGTAGGGACGGCCCAAGTCACTGGGTTCCTCCCTCTCACGTGGGAGACTTTTGGTCTTGGTTCCTAGCTTTAGCCCCAGCCCCAGCCACTGCAGAACTCTCATGCTTTCTCTTCTCCCCACCCCACCCTCAGGAAATTGAAGCCAAAGGGGAAAGCATTTGGTGTAATCATTGACACAACTTTATCCTTTATCAGTGTCCAGCTTGGAGTCTTAAGTCCAGCTTCCTGTTAATGCGCACCCTGGGAGGCAACAGGTGACAATTCAAGTAACTGGTCCCAGGTACCCAGTAGGAGACCAGACTGAGCTCCCAGGTTCTGGCCTGGCCCAGCCCCAGCTACTGTAGGCATTTGGAGAATTAATAGGAGTGAATGAGAGATCTTCTCTGCCTGTCAAACTAAATAAAGAAAGAAGACACTCATGCTTGCACAGTCAGAGGCCAAATGTGTGAGGGCAAGGTGTTGGCAGGCCACTTGGCAGGAAGCTCCGAGGAAGATTCTGCCTCTCGCCTCTCCTGTTGCTAGTGGCTCCAGACATTCCTCCTCCAGTCCCAGCCTCTGTCATCACATGACCGCCTCCACTGTGCCTCTGCTTCCTCCCCTTGCAGTTCTCAATCTCCCCTTTCATTGGATGCTTGTCATCAGATTCAAGACACACCCGGGTAACGCAGCATGACCACGTCACCTCAAGATCCTCAATTAGACCTTTCTGGTTTAGCCTAGGAAGAGATGGGATGAGGTCCGTGCCTGCTCCCAGGCTCCCTTTCCAGTAAGGGTTCTCAGCAGGTCCCTGGAACCTGTGAGCTAGGCTGGAGTTTTCCAATCCATTTCCTTTTTGCTAAACTTACCAGAGCCCTCCTTGCTCCCTATAAAGTTCCTTACCCAGTGCATGTGATGGTGTAAAGTCCCAATCCTTCCTTTCCGATATGGGGCCCAGACACCTCCAAGGAAGAGCCTCTGGTCTAGAAGGGCCTAGTGTGGGACAGATGGGCCTTACATCCTTTACAGTCAGGTTTGCCACTTCTATCACAGGACAACTACAATCAAATTCCAAAGGCTCCCTTCAGCTGGCAGGGCTCGCCCTCAACCAACAAGGCCACTCAGTGAATCAATCCCAACGAGCACCAACAGAGGAGACAGCAGCTCCATCTGAGTCAGGTTCAGGCTTCCAATGACAGAGCGAGCTTAACAAACACCTCCTGGGGGATCCCTGGGCCCCACTGACACGGCAGGAGCCTCTCCTTCCCTCTCAATGCACATGTAGTTCAACTGAGCTCTTCAATGAATCTTCCCAGTCTTGCTCGCCTTTCGTCTGTATCTTGTTTCCTTTGTCCAAATTACACCAGCACCCATCAGGAGATAATTACAGGAGTAGATGGAAGCTGCTTCGCTGCCTTTCTTTTAAAATGTATTTGGAAGACAGACAGAGCTCCCCCACCTGCTGGTTCACTGCCCAGGTATCTGCAACAGTCACGGCTGGGTGAAGCCAAGCCCAGGAACTAGGAATTCCACCCATTTGAGGTGGCAGCTACTCCATATTTGAACCATGCCACAGGAAGCTGGAAGCTCAGGGGCAAAATCCAGACTCAAAAACAGCATTTCCACAGCAGACGCAGGATCCCAAGCAGTGTCTTAGCTTACTACCTTTTTAAAAAGTATTTTAAATTTGAATCCATTCTTCGCATTATCTCTAACCTCTTTTATTACCTTATTTCAGGGTAGGAAAAATAAAAATCTTTTAATGCTCTCGGAAGACAAGTTCCCACCAGCATCATTACCATCAAACTTGATATAGAGCAAATAACAGAAGCCTTGTGACATGGCAGGCCCATGTTCTGCTGTGGGGTACAGCCATGCCTGGGATGCAGTGGTCTGATGCTCACAGACCAAGGGAGAGGCATTAAGGACCACAGGTGTGAGATGTGTCACAGAGATCTGGAGCCCAAGGACCAAATGGGAAGACACTGACCTTCACCAGCAGATGGAGATGAAGCTCAGCTGGAGATGACACCTTGTTTAAGCAGTGCTCTGTAAACAGATAACCAAAGGAAAGCCCTTCACCCAAGCCCTCCTCTTCCTCATTAAGTCCCAGGGATTCTTTCTCGGGTAAACCACACCAACCCAGCCCCAATTCCATGGTGTAGATCAATCTTAATCTTCCACCTGCACCCCAAAACCGACACTAAACATCTTGCCCTCAGCTTCTGCTCTCCCTAATCCTGACTCCCTACCCCCATACTGCTGCCAGCCACTTCCTAGAGAACAAATGTGACAACCTTTCCATGGTTCCTGATTGCTCAGATGGCAGTTTAAATCATATCACAAGCTTCTTCCAGACTAAGCCCCCTTCCACTTGGCAGCCTTTCCCTGCCACTCCCTCACTGTGTTCTGCACACACAGCCATACATTTCTCTTCTCAAACCCCCTTGCCCCTGCTGTTTCTTGCAGCATTTGCCCTACTTAGAATGAAGAATCTTTCCCCATCTCAACCTGGGACCGCCTGCCAATCTTTCCAGGTAAATCCCATCCAAGACTATTTTTCACTTAAATTTTGGCAGCTTATCAAACTAAATTAACTTCCCATCTTCAACAACTCAGATATGTCCCTACAACAAACTGCCCCAGCAGAAAGTTCTCATGAAGAGTATGTCCAGAGTCCAGCACAGTAGCCTAGTAGCTTAAGTCCTCGCCTTGCACTTGCAAGGATCCCATTTGGGCGCCAGTTCTAATCCCAGCAGCTCCGCTTCCCACCCAGCTCCCTGCTTGTAGTCTGGGAAAGCGTTGAGGACGGCCCAAAGCCTTGGGACCCTGCACCCACATGGGAGACATAGAAGACGCTCCTGGCTCCTGGCTTCAGATCAGTACAGCACCGGCCATTGCAGCCACTTGGGGAGTGAATCATTGGACAGAAGATCTTCCTCTCTGTATGACTGACTTTCCAATAAAAATAAATGAATAAAAAGTATGTCCCAAGTACATCTGCTTTGGCTCCTGAACTGTAAGGGAGCAAAGCTGTAATTCTGGGTTGGCACCTGCCAGCTTCTTGATCTTAACCAAGTGCTTCAATCCCTTTAAGATTCCAAAATAGTCAGGTGGGACAGCCACACCCCATACTGGGAGTGCTGGGTTCAAACACTTCACTTTAGATCCAGCTTCCTGCTGATCCTGGGTAAGTGTCACAGAAATGCCCAAGAGTAGACAGTGTGGATACACAACTAAACATCACATGGCACCCTGTAAATCCGCACATTGTTACGTCTGCTGGAATCTGTTACGTGAAACTTGTTTTAGGAAGAAATGCCTCGAGCACGCTACAGACAAACAGGACTTCAACTCAAAGCTCAGATGCATCCTCCTTCATTAAGATGAAACTTCAGGACTTCCACTCCCAGGAATTCATCCAGATTTTCTCCAAGGTGTGAACAAAACCTTATACTACACGTTCTGCAGTGTCCCTCACATAGATAAACAACCCCAGAGACCCCAAATGTTCATCAAGGGACAATTAGTGAACTAAGTGACAGCAGCATGTTACATAGAAACTTAACAAAATTTCAAGCTGTATATTTTAATCAACAATTTGTTTTTTACTAACAAAAGCATGAGTTAACAGAGAAGTCCTCTATACAAAGTAAGGATTTTTCAATTCATAACAAGAATCCACAGTCATATCTTGTCTTGCTTGCAAATCAGGAAAAAAAAAAGTTTGTTGTGGTAAAATTACACCAGAGAAGCAGGCAAGTAATGCGGACAACGGCAATACAAACACCACCTTCCCAAGTGTGTTGAACGGGAGACTTGGCTGAACACTGCGCCTTGAGCTGAAGCATTCTGAATACTTGCAAACCTGTAGGAAAACTTGAGCATTCTCAGGCAGGCACAGTTCTCGGAGTGCAGCCAGGACACCCCAGCTCACTCCCCACCAGGGATTCCTCTCAACACTGAGTGCACATGCAGCCAAGAGCCATGATGGCTTCTAAACTTCACGAGGAAGTTCCATTGTGGTTGCACGACCACAGCAAAACCCATGACAGTGAAAGCTCATACACACTCCTAGCACACACACACACAGAATCCTATTACATAAATGGAGCCTCAGAGGTCCACACCAACAAGCTCTATTAAAAATGAGAAGCTCCCTTCAAATGCCCACTTCCTGCTACGACACACATCCTGGCTTCAGTGGGGAACGACCAGTCATACCGCTGGAACACAGCGTTTGTTCAAAGCCTTTCTGTGGGCTCAAAGTATGGCAGCCACTCAACACTGCTCCCAGCAGTTTGCTCTCATAAGAGAAACACAACATACAATAACTGTGTGAAACACTGTGGCCTAAAAAAAAAACTTCGTAACTTTATTTGGTGAGGAGCCAAGCAGTGAGGGGCCAGGCTCCAAGCTCTGATGGAAACAGCCCATGTAGGAGAAGGAGCTGCAGGTACTTGAGCCGGTCAGGCTCACAGAGCTTGTACATCCAGGACTCAAATAACAAAGCACCTCAAACTCAAACCATCCAGAGCCATCACCAGGCCAGGTTATGCAATGATTCAATTGGATGAGCGGATATGGGCTTTAAAACATTATCTACACACAAAAAGAGCTGTACCTCCTCCTCACAATGAACTGCAATGCTTGACTAAAAAGGGGTTGGGGGGACACACACACCAAAGAAATACAATTTAAACAGGGTCTGAGGGGCTCTCCTGCAGCTTTCAGGGAACACACCCACGCCGAAGGAGAGTTAAATGGAACCCACAGCCAGCAGCCTCCCCGGAGAGCACTCCCTGCAGCCAGTGTGATGTGGAGCCTTCCAACACAGCACCACTCAACTATGCTGGCAACACAAGGCCAGGCTGCCCTGCACGGGAAACGCGAAGGGCCTGTGTCCACCACCGCTTGAATCTAGCCCCTGTGTTACAACTCCACCACAGCTGTAAGTACGTAACTTGGGGGGCAGATGCTTCGCAACACCCCCCTCAGCTCTCCTCAGTACGAATCTGTGGCCCTTGCTGGCCCAGAGGTGTTTTATAAAAACATCTGAAGACGTGGCAAACGGTCGCCACTGCTGCCAGTTCAAAGCAATTCCCAGGACTGAAGAAGCGCTTCATCCACTGCTTCATCTTCTCCCCTATTGTCACAGTTCTGCCGCCAAAGCGCAAAGGGGGAGAACGCGTGAACTGCTTCCTTGTGACCACGCCTTGGCAAAAATCAATAAATAAAGAGCTGTCAAAGGCAGAACCATCTTAAGGGCTTGGGAAAAGCAGGAGGGAGGCAAGTGTGCAAGGAGAGTCCTTCTGATTAGGGCTTGGTTACCCAACCCCACACACCCAGCTTGATGCTAAAAGCCCATCATTCAGACGAAAAGGGAAAAGGAAAGACACCAAAAAAAATCAAGTTTTGAAATTTGCGCAGTTGATATTTGCTCTTCATAGCAGTAAGAACTTGAATGAGAATTATGAAACTTGAGAACACTTGTATTTTTCTCCAGGATTTAAAAAAATCTTGTCTCATACTCAAAGACTACATTCAGTGTGGGTCAGGTCCAACAGCATTAGCTAGAATGCGGTGGTTAGGGACACCCCGCCCCGGGAGGAACGCCGTCTGAGTGGAGCAGCTGCTGGGCAGGTCAGGACCGTGCCTTCACTGGTCTCCAAGTCGGAACCCCTGGCCCCAGTTGTGTCTTCCACCTCCGGCGTTCTGATCAGCAGCTCGCCTCATGCTAGCAGGCGGCACACCAAAGCCGGACACCCCTCCTCTCCTGCTGGGCAGCCAGCGGTACCTGCAGCAGAGAGGAAAACAGGACGAGGAGAACAATTCAGGAGAACAATTCGCGTGGTTAGGTGAGGCCCAAGTGCGTCTCCCTCTCCTGAACCAGGCCAGGACCATGTTTTACTTCAGCACCTAGCTCAAAGCCCTGACCACAGATGGCACTTGCTTTGCCCATTTCTTAAGTCTATCAAGCTTTCAGTTAAAATCACACTCCAACATTTTCTTTTCTGATTATAAAAGTAATTCATGCAGAACAAAAATATTACACCCACAAGCCCAACCACCAGAAAGAGGGAGTGACAGCATCTTGGTATATCTAAATATGGATCAAACTGGATCAAAGGATGTACAATAAATTTCTTTTCCAAAGCCAAGTCCACAGGCTGGCTGTGTGCAATGCTTTCTCCTGAGTCCATCGGAAGGACTGGGAAAAAGGCTTATGACTTGCAGGATTAGGCATGTTTTAACACATAATCTGTCCTCTAAATGCCTTCTTCCCACTTCATAGGCAATAGGAAAGCCATGGCCCAAAAAGGTGCAAGGACTTCCCACCTTATAAAATAACGAGTCACACAACAGCTCAGAAAACCAAGTCTGTGCTCCCATTCTTGACCGCCTACATTATAAAACTGACAGGGGAAGAGCCGCTGTTAAGGCACTGCATGGAACACACACATCGCGGATTGGAATGTTTGGGCTCGAGTCCCAGGTCTATCCCAGATTCCAACTTCCTGCTGGGTGACATTACAAGGACATGAGTCCCTGACATCCATATAAGAGAGTTGGACTGAGTTTAGCCCGACCCTGTCCCAGCCCCTGTGGGCATTTGCAGAAATGAACCAGTAGATGGGAATTCGTGTGCAAACATTCTCTGTAATTCACTCACTATGATTAAAAAAAGAGTAAGATTTTTGTAAAAACTGAAAATGTGTTTTAACCTATTTCATTTATCAGATCTTCATGTTTAAAATTTGTCTAGAAACAGCATGATCTGATACCATGGATAAACCTCTCTTAGCAGCACAGGTGCCAAGCCATAACAGATACCTGCCCTTGGCACACAATGTTACACAGAAGACATGTGGACCTGTCATTCATTAAGGATTTACCTTGTAACAGGCACAGCACATCAATAAACTCATCAGAACCTCCCAGCCCTAGGAAGTACACACTACTGCTACAGGAAAAGGGAGATGAGGTTGGGTAAAGATCTTTTCAAGTGACAGGATTCAAACTCAGGCAGCCTGACTCAGGAGCCTCACACCGTGCCTGTTCTACTGACTACACCTATGCCTTCCAACTGGGATGGGGCAGAAGATATTCTCCTCCATACCTTCTTACCCTTCCTGCAAAAAAAAAAAAAAAAAAACCCTTTGAAGCAGAAAGTTTACTATGTATAAAAAGAGGGAGTTAACTACTTCCCCAAATGGAATGCAGACACCAATACATCAGAACTCCACAACTCAACTCTCCACACTCAGAGCCTCATCATTAAACCAACTGCATTTCTAAGCACTGGGTTCTCCACGCTCAAGACTCCTGGCACAATAATATTCCTCCAAAGTGCGTCACCAAACAGACCACTTTCCGAGGCCACACTGGAGCAGCCTCGCCTTGGTACTCACTCTCAAGACAATATGAAAACCATCTTCACTGCTTAAGCAGACAGTGAAATTAAATGCAAGTAATTAGGATAAAAAGATGCCCAATTACACATAATCAACAAAAATTTATGGTAATTTCAAGGCAGTTATTACTTTTGCAAGCAGCTACACTTTGTCATCTGATCTTTATGCAAAATTTAACAGAAGGGCTTTCTAGTGACAGAGAAAGCTCAAGTGGAAGGCGGGTTCCAGTGAGCTGCTGATTTTGCCACTAGAATCTCACTCACTTTGTTGCCTGCAATTGAGAAGTAGCTGCAAGCCGTTAAGTCAGAATATGGCCATTTAAAGAAAATAACTGTTGGCTGCTCCCCAAAGCACCACTTTTTTTTTTTAATTGATGCATCTGCCACCCTACTTGATAAACCTACACCAGAAATCCAAATTCGCTGTCACTATGTCCTTTGATAATTAGAAAGCAGACTGGTCATTTGTTTCTTTCGCTTGAAGGCAACCATGGCTCAGAAGAGAAACAAGTTTCTTTTCTTCTCTTGAAGAAACAGGAGGGAAAAATACCACACGTCCACCGGCACCGTGCTTTTCCGGAGAGGTCACAATAGAAACGCCTTTCAGAACCACAACCCCAGCTAGAAACGCACAGAGTGGTGCGCAGCAGGGCCCCGCAAGTCCTCCCGCCCTGAGTCCCTGCAAGAATGACAGGACTGCAAAGCAGAAGAACGAGCTGGAGGTGAAAGGGTCTGGTCTGCTTTTATCTTTCTCTCTCCTTTTTTTTTAAGCTTTTAAATGCAAGCTATTACCGCACATTTCCGACACAGGATTAGGCGTGACTGTCAGAGCTGTGACATGCAGACGACGACTGTGCCCGGCCTTTCTTCATTAGCCTTTTGCCATACTGACAGAACGATCCTACTACTCCCGACCTCGGTGTGTGGCTTCTGAGCCCGTCGAACTCCCGCCCCATGCCCACCGCTGGGGACTAGGCTGAGTGCCCACCGCTGCGCCCCGCAGCACACCTGACCTTCCACACCCTAGCAAACACGGGCTGCCCCTGCAGCTCACAGATGTGCGAACTGAAGCCTGGAGGCTTTCCTTAGCCACTCTCCCATCATCAAAACTGCCACATGAGGGAAATGGGTTCCAAACTCACATCTGCCTCAAAAAAATTCCAAGAGCCAAATGGCCCTGGTCTCCTCGTGTCAGTGATCCCTGACAACCAACCAGCAATCCACTACACACCCCTTTCTCCTGAACTCTGAGCAGGCCTACAACACCTCTACCATGTAGCATTTAACACAAAAATGTTTCCAATTACCAACCAAGTTGCTAAGCTCCTCCTTCCTCAGATGAAATCCCGGGGAGATGAGGGAGATGGGCCTGGCACCGTGGCCTAGCAGCTAAAGTTCTCATCTTGTATGCATCGCGCCAGGATCCCATATGGATGCCAGTTCTAATCCCAGCAGCTCCACTTCCCACCCAGCTCCCTGCATGTGGCCTGTGAAAGCAGCCAAGGATGGCCCAAAGCCTTGGGACCCTGAATCCACATGGGAGACCTGGAAGAGCTCCTGGCTCCTGACTTTAGATCGGCACAGCACCAGCAGTGATGGTCACTTGAGGAGTGAATTATCAAACGGAAGATATTTCTCTCTGTCTCTCCTACTCTCTATATATCTGACTTTGCAATTAAAATAAATAAATTTGAAAACATGGGGAGAACCAACCCTCTAAGACAAGAAGCACTGAGATCCAACCACAGCCCAGCGACCATGCCCTAGCCCTCCACTGCGCACAAGGCGGGCCTCAGGTGGTCCACCCTGCCCAGCGGGGCTGAAATGCTTCCTGCGACCCGTCATCGGGTCGGGAAAGGGGAGGGTTGACCAGCTAAAGTTGTACCCTGAAGGAGACTGAGTGACAGCTTCAATCTCTGGCTTCCCAGGACTGTGTAACTAGAGGATGTAGCACTTGTCGGCTCACACTCTTCCATCAGAAAGGAAGTAAACCCCACTTCTCAGGGAGCTCCCAGCAGAACACAGAACACAGGCAGCAGAATGCATACTAAAGGAGGGGGAAAGAACACTTACAAAAACTGAGGTGTGGAGAGAAAATTCCTTCCTCCCAAGTCCATCGGGTATCTGAACATTAGGAAGAAATAAAGGTGTCCAACAAGATTTCCAATTAGTTCATTGATCACCCTGTAAACAGAGAGTTGGGTTCAGTTAAAAACATCACACAACGAGACGTGTTGAGGTGTGACTCACGGCAAAGTGAGAGGCTCCCAGCCCCCGGGAGGAGGTGACAGCTCTCCGATGAGCCCCTTGGTTGTTGGCATGATGGCACGGGCATTCTGCAGCAGAAAGGAACCAAGAAGGCCACCAATCTTCATGCCCAGCCGTCCCCCTGACATCTCCCTTAAGGTCTAGTCTATCCTCCCAACGCTGCTGTGCTACTTCCTTCTTCTAGCAATGGGGAAACACAAAGCTCACTGCTGACTGCTAGTGGTCACCAATGCTGTTTATAGCCAAGTGGGAAAACACAACGGTTACCCGGGCCCAGCATGATGGCCCAGTGGCTAAATCCTTACCTCACATGTGCTGGGATCCCAGGTGGGGCACCGGTTCATGTCCCGGATGCTCTAGTTCCCATCCAGCTCCCTGCATGTGGCCTGGGAAAGCAGTCAAGGACGGCCCAAAGCCTTGGGTCCCTTCACCCATGTAGGAGACCCAGAAGCTCTTGGCTCCTAGCTTCAGATCGGCTCAGCTCCAGCCTTTGCAGCCACTTGCAGAGTGAGCCAACAGATGGAAGATCTTACTCTGTCTCCTTCTCTCTGTAAATCTGCCTTTCCAATAAAAATGAATAAATCTTAAAAAAAAAAAAAAGAACAAAAAAAGAACCCACAATGGTTACCAAAGGCAGAACATGGGAGTTAAGGAGAGAGACCAGACACAGCTCAACTCCTAGCCCTAGAGCTGCTTACACCCGTCCCTCAGCTCCTGCACCTTGGAGGGCATAAAGCCAGAGATGGTGAGGGAACACAGACCTTCACATCCACCTCCTAAGGTGTGCACAGAGTTCCTTCAGCTTCCCCATGGCTGACAAGGAGGTCACCTTAAAATGTCACAGACCCACTGTGACTGTGACACATCCTTCCCGTCTCCACCTGCAACATGACTCCCATCGAGAACAAGCCAACAGCTACAGAGTTCCCAACGTTACCCCTGCTCTGAACGCACTATGCTTTCACACAGCCTGTCTCCTCCTTCATTCACGCCTCCCTATCAACATACAGAAGCAGCTACGATCGCACAGAGCAAATGTGTCAGACATGCGAGCAACCAGAACTATTAAAATGCTGACAAGATTCTGCAGCAGAAGAAATGCGAGTTTGTGGAACAGCTGCGCCTCGATATCCTCCCTTCAAAATTCTGACTGCACACATAGAGACTTTCCTAAGGCTCTGTTCTAATTCCAAACCAACAGCTAGCAATCAGACTCTACACGGCCAAAACTTTAGCGTTGTGAAATCCCTTAGAAAACTGCTTTCCATCTGCAAGCCTCCCTATTGTGTGACTGGAAATGCTTTAATAGAAGAGGTAGTAATTGTATACCCAGGTCTTAGGAGAGTCAACTCAGACACAAATGGTTTATCCTTGCTCCAATGGGAGAGGATGCCATATCTAACAAGGAACTAAACAACCAATCAATGTTAAATACCCTTAGAAACCTGCATTTTAATCAATTACACTGCAATGAAAATTATTCCTCACATATATGCTTCTAACATATCAATGCTTTGACTTAAGGTTTTATAGATTAAGGAAAGAAGATTCACATAGGTTTTCCAAGGATTAGATCCCAATTAAATAAAGCTATCATCACTTACGAGCCTCCGATGATATAGTTGAATCCAAGGATAACCCAGGGTAAGTAACAGGCCTAATTAAAAAAAAAAAAAAAAAAGATAATAGGTGAATGAGAATGCACACAGCCAGGAGGGGGACTGCAGGGAGAAAGGCTATGCTGATGGGCTGGCTGGGATCCCCTGGAAAGCCCTGCAAACCTTTTCTCATCAAGCAGGCAATGCCCTCACTGGGTCTAATACCCTCTCCCTAGACCCACTCTCAGTGTTTTTGTACAGGATCCTGGACCCAGAGTTTAGACACACTTCGCACCCTGCTGCACGAACAGTAACAAACACCTAGGATGCTACCGAAAACACGGCCCATATGCCAAGCACACTGAAGACTCCAAACAGAAGCCACCATAAACTAAAACACCCCAGCTTCCTAGGTCCTTCTGCTGCATCTTTTGTATCTTTAATTTTTATTTCACTATTTCATTCACTCTGATATCTCAAACTAACACTCTTCCAAATAAGCTTTCAGGAAAATTCAACATTTGAGCCCCTCACCAAATTCAACACACTACACTAAGAATTAAGGGGGCTGTGAGGCACTTCACAAATGAGTAAAAAGATTAACACATAACAAGGCTGAATGTGGTAAGCATCACAAAAGAATCTCAAGTACCAAAAAAAGCCAAAGACCAAGAGTAATTCCATGCAGGAGCCTCACAAAACATACTCAGCATCAACTCAAATGTTAGAATGGGCAGGCATCACATGAGGAAAAACAACTGAAAAGATGTTGCAGGTGGAAAATGGCGAGAAGCACTACAAAGCTTAAAAAAAAAGTAACAAGGAATGAGAAAGTATTACAGATTTTCAAAGGCAAGATTCTTACACACACACACACACACACACACACACACACACACACACACACACACACGCACACGCACACGCACGCACACGCGCAGTAGGGAAGTCCTGACAGTTAACAAAGCTCTTTGGGACTGAGGTGCAAACAGGGGCTTGCCCACAGTATACTGCTCTGCAGTGACCTCTTCTGGACTATTCAGAAAGAACACCTCTGGGCTGAAGAGGGGTTTCTGTGATGACAAATGAAAAGGCTTTCCAACTCAGGTAAAATACCTTAAATCGTGTTCCAAACCAAAATGACACAATCATGTCTCTATTCAGCTGGGCCCAGACATAAAGTACTGACATGATCAGAGGAATCATCAGCAACTGCAAGAGAAGTCAATATAGTAAAGTTAGGCCCAAGGCGCTAGAAAAACAGTCTGCTCGGCTTCTTAACCCCTCCCCCGACAAAAAAAATCCTCACATGGGCGTTCAAAAGCAAAAGGTAACTCCAGGGATCAGAATCACAAATTGGGGAGTGGCTGCTGGGCCTAGCAGTTAAAGGACGCTGGCATTCAACACAGTGGAGTGAGTCAGTTTGATTCCTGGCACCAGCTCTGGATTCACTTTCCCACCAACGCAGACCCTGCAAGTCATGCCTCAAGTTACTGAGTTTCTGCCACCTCCCTAGACGACCTGGATGGCATTGTGGGTGCCCAGCTCCTCCTGGCTCCTCACAGCCTATCCCCGGCCTCAGCCCTTGCGGGCATCTGGGGAATGAACCAACCAATGGGGCCTCTCTTTCTCTTTTGCCTGCCTCTCTCTGTGCCTCTCAAATAAATAAAAGAGTTTTTTTTTAAAACTGAGTTGATTCTATTATTTATCATACAATACTATACGTACTATAACATCCTATCACAGGGTATAACACAACTACATTATTTTCAACAGACTAAGAAACACCAGTCAAATTGTGTTACTTGAAAAAGTAGGTCACAAACCTTTACTTACTATATAATCTCAAAAAAAAAAAAATACAAACACATATGTTTAGAAATTACTGGATAATCATTATTCAATGTTAAACATACAAAAGATGTCATAAATTAGCAAGAAAAGCAATGACTTAGATAACTCATGTAAGAAGATCATCAACGCTTTAGCTGACTTAAATGTCTAAAATGGCCACAATTCTGTAATTTCAAAATGTCATATAATTAACCACACTTTCAACTAGTACTACCAGCGAGTAACAGTAAATGGGAACAAAGAGGCAAACAGATGGTGGGCACTTACCTGCATATCCATTGCTATGCCAGTAATCTTTGTTTATCAAGTTAAAGATCAGACAGGAAGCATTCTTGTACCTCACCAAGACCGACCTGACTCTTCAACCTCGTCCCCAACTGAAAACAATTTTGGTCACATTCTGAAGGGAAAACGCTGTTCTCCAGCTCAAATTACGGGAAGTACCCAGAACACAAAAGGTACTTCAGCACCTTCACTACCAATGTGAATATTCCTCAGGGCTCTGCTATGACAAGGGATGGTATATGACTCAGCTTGGCCACCCAGCACCCACCTCTTCTCATTGTGTCCATGTTTATGCGTCAGCATCCCCAAGCCAGGCATGCCTGCACCCTCCTGCAACAAGCAGCAATGTGACTCACATGGAAGGTGGCGGCCAAACCACCACTGGCCGCTCGTACAAGGGCGGGGGGCAAAGTGCCACACTCTCTGGCCCTTGGTCAACTGTCAAGGGCAGGTGGCCCAAAAGCCCACAGTGAGCTTCTCGACGCTGTCTGAGACTTGAGCCCCTGGACCGCTCGCTCTCAGCAGCTGGAAGGCTGCTGACAACGATGGGGGACAGGAAGCCAGGGACATGCTGTGTCCCCTCCCACAGCTGGGCTCTTACAGAGAAACTGAGTGGCTAGTTAGGACCCTAAAGACCAGCAATGAAGCCAGAAAAGGATGCTGGTTATCAATTCATTTTCTGATAAGGACCAGAGATTTCCAAAGCCGCCGCATGGCAGAGTCTCTTTGTGCTTCAGTTGGCAGCTGCCACACATGAGAACACAGAGAACTGGGAACGGGAACAGAGAATGGCAATAAAACGCACCCGACTGCGGAAAAATCCCACAAAGGCCATGCAAGGAAATGTACCACTCAGGCACTGCATGATTTACTACAGCTCTTCGAAAGCTTTTCAGTTAGTCTTAATTATTCAGTGCAGTAAACAAAAACATAAACACTGTGATTTGCAATTTTTATAGATTTTTATCTACCTTCCCTAGCCTGGGGCGGGAATGGCTTCTTTCTGACCCAAAATATCACACTGAAGGATACCACGATGCAAATCCAGTTAAAGAGCAGCATGAACAAATAGTCTGCTGGCCTTCCATCAAAAGCTGCTGGAAACGAAAATAAGCCAAATGTCATGTTTCAGAATTTTAGAACAAAGTAACATCCATGTAGAGAAACACTTCAAAGAATTAAAGAGCCAAAATGCCAGTACTTTTAGAATCACTCCTCTCAAAAAACAACTAATTCTTTCAAATACCTAAACCATGTCCTTTACAGTGCAATGAAACAGTCATGGCTAACCCCAGAAAGTGACAAATCCTGAGGGCTTCAGACTAAAGCAAACCCACAGGGAGGGTGGTCAAACTCGCCCCCACTACATCCATACTGCACACGTCAGTGGCCTCCCCATGCTCCACACGTCACTTCAGATTCCAGCCCTGGCTGATGCCAGGCCCCTCCACCAGCTTGCCAGGGAGAAGCCCTGTCCACTCCGCCAACCACTGGCCTTCTCAAGCACCACTCTGCCTGAGCGAGGGTCTGCTTACTAGACTGGACACACACACACAGAGCCTGTCCAGACACTGGAGAGACTCGACGCCTGCCTGCAGGAGCTGACGTTCTAGCAGGCCGTAAGCAAGATGGGAGAAAGGGGGCACAGGCAGCCGTGCCTCCCCACAGCCTCTTACTCCTCACGCCGCCTCTGGGAAGGGAATGCAAAGACCTATGACCCCTCCTCCCAGATGAGCAACTAAAGTTACACGGCCAAAGTTGCATGTCTTGTTACAAGAGAATCAAGTCTAACTGCCACTTAGTGCCCTGGACTCTGCACCAGCCCCAGCTCTCTTCCAAATGCAACTCAGGTGCCTTCAGCTGGGAGACTAAGAGACACAGAGCTCATTCCTGGGCCAAAACGGAATTCAGCAGGACGCAGCCCGGACACCTTTAGGGAGCTACGGGTCACATCCTGGCTTAGGTAGCCTTGCTGAGATGTGGTTCAAGACTGTGCCCGGAGTCGCCGCCACAGCTGTGTGCCTGAACATCCCTGGGAGGGCCACTAGATGCATTGACAAGCTCAGCAACAGGCACGAGGCAGAAAGGACTGTCCATGTGCGTTATCAGCGTAGCTTGTTGGACAGACGCATCTCCGAATTCATCTCACTATGTGACAAGGAGCTGGAGAACACTGATTACGGAAGCATCTTCCCGACTGACAAAAAACACTCAGTTACGGTAACAAGGCTGAGTAAAGCTTATAGTGCTTCAGAAAAATAAATTCAAAAACAAAGAGAGAGAAAAAGAAGCCAACAGAAAGTGTAAGGACACTAGCTCAAAAATTAACTTTTTCCTCACAGAGGAGGATGTATAACTGAGTGGAAATTCTATGGCTATGCATTCATTTACTTTGTGCAATTAATATGTCACAAAAATCATGGAGTTTATAACACATTTCTGGGTTTGTGTCAATTCTAAAAAAACAATCTCAAACTCTGCTGAGCCCTTCTTCTCTTAGTCAGTATTAAGTGGTGCATTAGCAGTGAGAACTAACCCTGTGTACTACGTATTTTTACATTTTGTTCACCTCTATCTCTTCTCCATTTACAGTAAACTAATTTTTTGGAAGACAGAATTTCTTATTGTATAAGGAACACACAGGGCATTGCTTGCATTTGACAACTGAGTTGACCAACAAAACTGTCCTACTTACCCTTAAAAATGAATCTTAGGGAAAAAAAGAAAAATCAGTGCATTTACCTTACAAAATGGAAAGATCTATGCTAAGTCTAATTCATGTGAAGAAAATGTGGCAAAGAACTTATTTCATAAATCTTGAGGGAGATGCGATGACAAGTATATCTATGTCTCCTTGTTCCTCTGAGGACTTACATCTTAGCATGCGATCGACACCATGGTTTCAGAGCCTAGCTGTCGGGCCTGGCGCGATAGCATAGCAGGTAAAGTCCTAGCCCTGAACGCACCATGATCCCTTATGGGCGCCGGTTCATAGCCCAATGGCCTCGCTTCCCATCCAGTCCCCTGGCTGCCTGTGGCCTGGGAATGTAGTCGAGGGCAGCCCAAAGCTTTGGGACCCTGCACCCGCGGGAGAGACCAGGAGGAAGCTCCTGGCTCCTGGCTTTGGATTGCCTCAGCTCCAACTGTTGTGGCTGCTTGCAGAGTGAACCATCGGATGGAAGATCTTCCTGTCTGTCTCTCCTCCTCTCTGTATGTCTGCCTTTCCAATGAAAATAAATCAATCTTGCAAAGCCTAGCTGTCGATGAATGATGGAGACACAGAGGAAACACGACCGTGTTTTGTGAAACTGAAGTGACCATGCACACTCTCTTGAAGAAGTCTTTGACAAAAAAAAGCCGTAATTGTCATTTGTGAATTTTCTGGATCCAAAGAAAACAGTTGTTATATATGTAAATAAGTTATTTTATACCAAAAATAAATAAATAAAAGCTCAAAAAGAAAATTACCATCCTCCCTTTCCTCATCCCAGCATCTATGGGATATAGTCAATTTTAAAATTAAAAAGGCCCTGCACGGCAGCCTAGTGGCTAAATCCTCACCTTGCATGCACCTACATCCCACATGGCCACCAGTTCCTGTCCCAGCTGCTCCACTTCCCATCCAGCTCCCTGCTTGTGGCCTGGGAAAGCAGTAGAAGACGGCCCAACGCCTTGGGACCCTGCACCAGCATGGGGAAAAGGCTCCTAGCTCCTGGCTTTGGATCAGCTCAGCTCCAGCCATTGCAGCCACTTCAGGAGTGAACCAGTGGATGAAGATCTTTGCCTCTGTATCTCCTTCTCTGTAAATCTTTCAATAAAAATAAATAAATCTTTAAAAATAAAATATAGACTCTTTGGGGTGGGCGTTTGGCACAGAGATTGAGACACTGCCTGGGACACATGCCTCCCCCAGTGGAGGACCTGGGCGAATCCAGCTCCATTTTCAGTCTAGCCTTCTGTTGACGTGGGCCCTGGGCAGCAAGAAGTGACGGTGCAAGCAGCGGGGTTCCTAGAGCGCGTTTGGGGCTCACAGGAGGGCCTGGTCTAGCCCCAGGTACCACAGGCTCTTAGGGCATAAAGCAGCGGAGGGAAGATACCTGTCTCCTTCCCTCTCTCTCTCCATATAACAGACACACATAGAAACATATGTGTATGTCAAGTAAAAGGAAAATTTAAAAACATTTTAATTTTACCATGTATCAGACAGCCAGAAATAAACACAAGTATGTCAAAGAAAACAGGTTTCCAGGTCAATCTGCGTCCTTCCTTTATTCTCCCTCCTCACCTCCAAGTCTCACTTCAGCCCAGGTTAAGGATGCTGAGCCTGGAGATCACCAGCCTCACTCAGACCCAGAAGGCTGACAAAGCTGCTGGGTTTTAACAAGTGCTTCTGTTGACGTGGTTCTCTTTGTGATTTCCAAGAATTCTTTGAGTGGAATACTTCAAAATACTGTAATCACATAAACTTCAGCATTCTAAATTTTGACGTGCTTACAACTAGGAATTTATAAATTAACTCTCAAATAACAGTCTTCCAATTCAAATTAGAAACTTCATAAATGAGCCAGCTCTGTTATACACTTAACAATCTAGCTAGGCAAGAGACTGCAATGGTAAATATTTTGTCAAAATATTAATTTGAGGGGCCAGCACCACGACCCAGTGGGCTAACAAGATTCTACCTGTGGCACCAACATCCCATTTGAGTGCTAGTTCAAGCTGTTGAAGTCCCAAACCAGCTCCCTACTTACAGCCTGTGAAAGTAGCAAAGGGTGGCTCAAGTGCTTGGGCCCCTGAACCCATGTGAGAGACCTGGGGAGAAGCTTCTGGCCCCTGGCTTCAGATCAACTCAATTCTAGCTGCTGCAGTCATTTGGAGAATGAACCAGTAGATGGAACATTTGCCTCTCCTTCTCTCCATATCTCTGCCTTTCAAATAAAAATGAAATAAATCTTTAAAAATATGTAATTTTAACTTAAGGGGTTGGCATGGTGGCTCAACAGGTTAATCCTCGGCCTGCAGCACTGGCATCCCATTAGGGTACTGGTTCAGGTCCCAGCCGCTCCACTTCTAACCCAGCTCCTTGTTTACAGACTGGAAAAGCAGCAAAGGACGACCAGAGGAAGCTCCTGGCTCCTGACTCCAGACAGGCTCAGGTACAGCCATTGCAGCCAGTTAAGGAATGAACCAGTGGATGAAAGATCTAGTTCTTTCTGTCTCTCCTTCTCTCTGTAAACCTGCTCCACCAAATAAAAATAAGTAAATCTTTAAAAAGGAAAGCAAATAAAAAGGAGCAGAGGATGGCACAAGTGCTTGGAACCCTGCACCCACATGGGAAAGCCAGAAAAAGCTCCAGATCAGCTCCGCTCTGGCCAGCGGCCACCTGGAGAGCAAACCAGCACACAAAGACCTTCACTCTTCTCTCTCATTCCCTGTAAAGTCTGCCTCTCTCAAATAAAAATAATAACTTTTTTTAAGTCTACAGCTTATTCAAAACATTGGATACTGCCGTATTATTAAATCTTAGCTATATTATTTTAAAATTCAATGTTTTAATTACAGAAAGTAAGTCTAGACTTCTAATTACACAGTATTTCCAAGCCCACTCAAACAACATATATATACTCCAATCCAATTTGGCATTAAACAAGGACTTTTCTACAATAGAGATGAGATCATGATTTAAGTGAGAAATACAACTGAGCCACTAGGACAGGCAAGATACCTTTTTCCACCTATAAAACGATGACATCAGTACTTACGTCTCTGATGTTTTAGAGAAAAGCCGAGTAACGTAAGAGCCTAGCACAGTTCCAGTTCAGTCACTAAGCAAACACAATCATTATGCTAGTTCTTATCAAATGCTACCTGCCCTCAAAATTCCCCCAGGAAAGCAAACATATGGATTAGCAAATTAAAAGAAAAAAAAAAATACTTACAACATCTGTAGATGACATACCTGTTTCCAAGCGTGTAGAATACTGATACAAGAAATATAAATTGACCAAATAAAGAAATCCAGTTCCTGGACCCACAGGGAAATAAAAGGTGGCAGTGATTGGCCTCCAAATCTGTCAAGACCAAAACAAAGATAGCTGTTAGTTTCTCTAAACCTGAATAACTTTTTTTCTTTCAATTACACAAAATTTAACTTTTGTGTGGCATTCTCCTCAACCAGTCACCACAATGAACCACCAATAAAATTCAAGAAAACAGACAGAGAAAAATTCATACAAATTACAGTCACATTAATCTGCAAACCAATGGACAAGCATCAAGTATTTCTTAACAAATTTTTAAAAATTAATGCTATAAGGCCTAGTTGGGTAGCCTAGTGGCTAAAGCCCTCGCCTTGCACATGCCAGGATCCCATATGGACACTGGGTCTAATCCTGGTGGCCCCACTTCCCATCCAGTTTCCTACTTGTGGCCTGGGAAAGCATTCGAGGACGGCCCAAAGCCTTGGGACCCTGCACCCACATGGGAGACCTGGAAGAAGCTCCTGGCTCCTGGCTTCAAATCGGCTCAGCTCCAGCTGTTGTGGCCACTTGGGGAATGAATCAGTGGATGGACCATCTTCCTCTCCATTTCTCCTTCTCTCTGTGTATCTGCCTTTCCAATAAAAACAAGGAAGTCTTTCTTAAAGCTTAATGCTATAGAATTCCACAGTTGGTACAGGTGTGTGGAACATGAGGTTAAGTTCCTATATAGGATTTTCACATTTTTTACCAGAAGTCCCAATTCTCCCACTTCCAGCCCCAGGAGGCAGCCAAAGACAAGCCAAATGCTTGGGTCCCTCCATGCAAGTAGAAGCCAAGATGCAAGGGCAGGCTATGAGAGCTGGGTCTGGGAGGGGACTGAGTGGGGAAACTGGGGGACTCCCCTACTGGGCCCTAGCTCCCATTGGGGAGCATGTGTTCCAGGTCTCAGGGTCAGGCAGGCTGGGCGATGAAGCCCCACCCATTGGCAAGTGTGTGGGTTGGTTTTGGAAGGGGGAGGACCAGGAAGGGCCAAGCAAACCTTAGCCCACTGGCGAAGTGTAGAAACCAGGCTGGAGTGCAGGTCATACCGGACTAGGGTATGACACCTACTGGCTCACATGACACGGAGGTGAGAGTAGACTGAGCAGGGCCAGGTGGCAACACTTGACAGCAAGAGTTGGGACTCGGGGCTGGCTAGGTCAGGCCAGGTTACAGCATCCAAAGGCAAAGGCTGAGACAAATGGGGACTATGCCAGGCCAGGTCGGAGCAACCACTGGCACGCTTGAAATCTGTGGAGGGGAGCAGGCCTGGCTGGGGAACTAAGGGGACACACTGGCCAGGTTGTGATCCCCATTGGAGAGCGCAAGGGCCACAGTGGGGGCTGCAGTTTGGTCTGGATATAGCTGCAGAATCCCTCAGCAAGTGAGTGGGCTGGATATGGAATGCGCCAGACTGGGCTAGACTCTAGCACCCACTGGAGATCGTGAGAACAAGGGTAGGTATAGGACAGGCTAGGCCAGGTCTTTGCCCCCGCTGAGCCATGTGTGAGCTGTGTCTGGGTGTGGAGCAGGCTTAGCTGGGCTGTAGCACCCAACAAGAAGAACTGGAATGGGTGAGGGCTGGTGGGGAAGGCTAGGACACCTTCCTGCTAGGACAGTAGGTGGACTAAGTAGGGCTGGCCCATGGACCCACCAGTGTGCACAGGGAGAAATCGGGATGGAGGAGCCTGGGGAACTCCTCTGTCGGGACACATTCCCTGCAGTTGAACGCAAGAAGCAAAAGGGGGAGCAGACCAGACCAGGCCAAAATACGATACCCACCAGCATATATTTGGTGCAGGTCAGGAGCAGGCCAGACTGGGTCAGTCCACATCACCAGCTGGTGAATCCGAGTGCCAGAATAGAGTGTGGGTCAGGCCGGGTCAGGGTATAATACCAGCCAGTCCGCATGAGGGCCAGGACTGAGGGCTGGCAGTGCTGGGCCAGACTATAGCCCCTACCAGAGTGAGTTGGAACTGGGGGAGGGCCTGGCCTGGCCAGGCTACAGTACCCACTGGCAAATGCCAAGGTAAGGGGGCTGTGCCAGTCTGGGCCACAGCACCCAACCAGCACATGTGAAACACAGGGGTGGGGGTGGGGATGGCCCCAGTGAGGGGGATGCAAAGGCCCCCCTACTTGACCACTACTCCCACTGGTGAGCATGAGAACTGGGATGGGGGCAGATCAGGCCAGGCAGGGCCACATCCAATGGCCTATATGTGAGTTGGATCAGGGAAAAGCCAGGCTGGGTTGACTGTACCTTCTGGTACAGTGTTGGCGTGGGTGGGTTGGGCTTTGTTGCAGCATCAGCTGGCAGTTGCTGGCACAGGGGCCAAATTCTATTAGGTGCAGGCATGGCCTAGACAGACGGTGGCACCCTCTGGCACCAGTGTGGATTGGATAGTGGGGCTGGTTGGGACGAACTGGGCTTCAATGCCCATTGACATGTACGAGAGCTGAATGGGATGTGGGAAAGACCAGACCAGTCCGCTGTACATACTGGCAAACACAGGAATCAAGGCAGGGGCAGGCCTGGTAGGTTTTTGTGGGTCGCTCTGACTACACTGCAGCTCCCACTGGTTTACGTGAAGGCCACGTATGGGGTGGGCAGGATTGGACTGGGCTCCAACACCCATCAGGTTTCATAAAACACGAGGCTGGAGGCAGAACTGACTTAGCAATTGCAACTATCATTGTGTTTGTAGGCTGATTTGGTGCCAGTCTGCGCCAGACCCTGTATTGGCAAACACACACAAGAATCAAGTCTGGAATGGCCTCAGAAGTTTCGTGGGCAATTCCCTACCAACTGAACTGCTGCACTCAGAACCCTAACCATGGAGAGAATTGCAGGTTCCATGGGCTGACTGTGGGAGTGGATGTGTCAGAGCTGGGCCTCCTCAATGGCTCAGACGGAGCAGAGGACAGCATATCCAAACGTACATGGTGGATAGGGCAGTATATCGGAGCCTCCAGAGGACACCTGGTACCATAACAAAGGATAGAGGACAGAACAAATTGATCAACCACCCCAGCCAGTCATTGGCAGTGAAGATCTGGGCAGAGACACTAAGGTGGACTATAGCAGCCAGTGGATTTGGGAGAGATTTCTCGTGATTGAAGTGGCGGGATCGCCAGCAATTCAGCACTGTTGAATTATCAAAACCTCTTGAGAAATTTGTGGTGTTGTAAATTTCTATTTTTCTTCCTATTGTTGATTTTGTATTGTGGCTTTTCATTTAAGGGGGATGTGTGGTGAATGTGTAATGGAGACTATCACGTCCAGATGTGAGGATGCAGTGCAGTGTGCATCTCTACTTCCAGACAAAGATGGACTCCCAATGAAACTATCAGCTGTATCTTGACAATGGGAAGCTGGACTCTGCCACTGTCCATGCCCACAATGATGGGCATGTGACTGTTTATGCAGAGCTATGCCATAATAATACAGGAGAATTCAGTGGGGGGAGGAGAGAATTTGGGGAGGGGCAAGCAAAATAAAAATAAATAAATAAATATTTAAAAGTCACACTCTAAGAATTAGAATAGGAATTTTTACTAAAAAATCGTGTGCTAAAAAGACAATATGAGCACACAACTTAAAAACCACTACCTGAACAAACAATAACGAAGGTTCTACAGTAAGAATTAAGCCTTGCTGGAGACAGTACAATGGCTCAACTGGCTAATCCTCCCATATGGGCACTGCTTTGTGTCCCAGCTGCTCCAGTTCCCTGCTTGTGGCCTAGGAAAGCCAAAGAGGACAGCCCAAAGCCTTTGGACCCTGTACTCATGTGGGACACCTGAAGAAGCTCCTGGCTCCTGGCTTTGGACTGACTCAGCTCCGGCCATTGTGACCACTTTGGGAGTGAACTAGTAAACAGAAGATCTTTCCTCTATCTCTCCTCTCTGTAAATATGCCTTTCCAATAAAAACAAATAACACTTTTTAAAATATTAAGCCTTGGGCCCGGTTCAGTAGCCTAGTGGCTAAAGTCCTCTCCCTGCATGTGCCAGGATCCCATATTGGTGCTGGTTCATGTCCTGGCTGCTCCTCTTTCCATCCAGCTCCCTGCTTGTGGCCTGGCAAAGCAGTCCAGGGCGGCCCAAAGCCTTGGGACCCTGCACCCATGTAGGAGACCCAGAAGAAGCTTCTGGCTCCTGGCTTCAGATCAGCTCAACTCCAGCCATTGCAGCCACTTGGGGAGTGAACTAGCAGAGTTCTTTCTCTGTGTCTCTCCTTCTCTCTATAATTCTGACTATCCAATAAAATAAATAAATAAATCTTTTAAAAAATTTAAGCCTTCTAACAACTGTTGAGGTTTTCGCAGCAGTATTTCTTCAAAGAAGTAACAGCAGGAGTTACACTTTTCCATTCTACCTTGTCCTGTAGTGTTTTATGCTTTGCTTCCTTTTCTTTATGAAGTATTCCTTTTATACGAAATCCATACTTCATTTGTTTTTAAAATTTTATCTAGTTACTTAGTTATTATTTATTTGGAAAGTAGAGTGACAGGGGAAGACAAAGAGAAAGATATTTTTCATCTGCTGGTTCACCCCCCACATGACTGTAAAGCCGAGGCTGGGCTAGGCTGAAGCCAGGAGCCAGCAGCTCCATCCTGACCTCCCCCGAGAGGAGCAGGGCCCAGGCCTTTGCACCATCATCCACCGCTTTCCCAGCTGCGTCAGCAGAGCTGACGGGAAGCAGAGCAGCTGGGACTGAAGCTTACACTCTGATACAGGATGCCAGCGGCCCAAGCAGCACTGTAACCCAAGTGCCACAATGCCAGGCCCTCAAACTTCACTTAAACTGCCACAGTGACACAAGTTATACTTTTAAATATGTTCTTTATTCACATACCTACAAGACAAATTCCTGTTAATCAATCTGCCAGATCCACAGACATAAGCATTTATTTCTGCAGATACTACCAAAAGCCTATGAAAATATTTAATCAATTTATACTTCTCCTAAGATGTAGGTGACTGCCAGGAGCTTCTTGGCCTTCCTCAAGGTCCTGGCCTTCCTCCACTGCCTTTCCAGGCCATCAGCAG